CAATGTTTGTGTGTTTGTGTGTGTGTGTGTGTGTGTGTGTGTGTGTGTGTGTGTGTGTGTGTGTGTGCGTGTGTGTGTGTGTGTATGTGTGTGAATCTAATTAATGACTGGCAGTGGTCCCCCGCAGCTCTGGTAATGTGCTTAGATCAGTGTTATAAGCAGGGCGTGAAAGGTCCACCCAGTGCCAGCCATTTAAATGACTGGCCTCTTGTTCAGGTAGATGGATGGAAATGTTGTAATATTAATGATCACGTCCCCCGCCGACCTGTCGCGAGGTGAAATGAACAACTCAGCCCTCAGCCTCCAACAACAATTAACAGGCCAGAGCCGGCCTGTCTTCCATTTGTCATCACTGACCCAACCTGTGGACCCTACTATACACACACTGAACGTGTCTGTCGATATACACAGAATGTTTTCTTCATTGATTGGAAAAAATATGCAGTGGTTAATGACATGGCATTAATCCTCAGTTTTTTCTGGCTGTGTTTTTTAATTCATTTTTTTGTTTCCAATTATACATAAAAAAACAAAACAAACATTTTCTGAATTTGATGAATTGAATGTGACCCAAACCTTGTATCTGCTATATGTGTCTATAGGAGAAACGTGGAGGATTATGTTCTTAATAACTGACATAAGCATCAGATCCATATTGTTTGCATCAGCTTGGATGGACGCCCTTGCAGTAAACATGATTTATGAATGTAGGCTAGAACCTACATGCCAAATTGAATCTGCAATTACATCTCAGGATTTTACAGATTATCCAGGATTTTTTTTTTTTAAATCAACAGGAAAGTAGCTGAAAAACAGCTTTTTGTCATTTCTGGCAACATCCTCCTGATTGACCTCTGGCTCTCTCAGTGCAATTCATATTCATGGGCTGGTCCTGAGCACGGGTATGTAGACATGGGGTTACACATTACCGACGCCCCGGCTCTGAGGTCAACTCCCACACATTCCAGTTAGCCATTGACCAGTCTGCCCAGTTAGCCGTCACATTGAGTCACCAAACTTCAAGCTGGTATTCTTAAAATAAATGAATGCCACAAGTGGCTGTAAACAACATGTCAGAAGTCAGAAATAATTAATTTTTGCCCTGAATGTTTTTTTTTTGTGTGGCATGCATGCAATGAAGAAGCATTATCTGTGAAAATAGTTCAAAAAGGTTATTTTCCACATTGTAATAAGTACTGGAGCTGCTGTTTTTTCAGTTCCTGTATTTGGTAGGATGGACATATTTTTAGATGCGTTTTCCAAAAAAACAGATGGTATGAGTGGTAAAACCATGCAGCAAGAAGCACTAGAACAAAAGTGGAACCTCTCTCTGCATGTGTGTGTGCTTGTGTGGGTATGTGTGTGTGGTGACACCTAGGTGCTGTGTTATCTCACCATAGTTCAAGTTAGTAGCATACCCTGAAGATGAGGTAGACCTCAAATGATATAGACCTTTATGGAAAAAACTTGACTACCATTAGCTGTAGGTCAAGGTTTTTGATTCACATGTTTTTTTAATTTGCTCCCCATGTGTATGTTTTTTCCCCAGTTATTTTCTAGTTCAAAGCTGAATTCAAGGTTGCTACAGACTTTTCCTTCTGTGCATCACACATGCAAACACAAATGTTCTGGTGTGGCACTCCCTGCCCTTCTCTACGCCCTGTGTCGCTTCACACAAGCTTCCTAAATTCTCCGATCCGGTGCCAAATGGACCGGGGCGGAAGCGCCTTTCATGTACACGGGTAGTCTGTCTGTTTGAGTCCGACGTTTTACAGCCGACTTGTCAGAACTGTTGATTCACCATCACTTTTGCAGAGGAGGACCAGTTATGAAATGGGTGTCACACAAGTACCAATGGCTTGCTGTTTAAACATGGAGCTCTATTACACAGCTATCTCTCATCACGTCATCTGGGGCTGCACAAGGCCTGTTTGAGATCCAAGGTTTTCTGCCTGTCTGCACTCTGAAGCACCTGCATCGAAGGAGAAAGTGCTGCCCTCCTTTGGTTGGAGGTCTTGAAGAAAATACGATATACAGTACCTCTTGCCTCACATTGTCGTGTATAAGCATAAGAAGACAATATAGCCCAGATGGAACGAAGAATTTCTGTCCTACTAAACATGTCTAAACAAAATTGTGAGCTGGAAAACACAAGAAGTGCTTCCACATGTTGTGACACTTCTACTTATCAAGCCATCTTCAGGGCACATTGTAGCTTTTATCTGCAGTTTATGATGCATCAGCCTGCTCTAGTCCAGTGGGACTGGTGTGTGTCCTCCTTCAGCCTCCTTCTGGGGCAGACACAAGTGAGACTGGAAGCGTTTTTATCCCCGCAGCAGTGGCGTTATCTGGCTATTTTGAGCTATTGATGCTAAGCACTGGACATTAATCTACTCTGCAAAGAACGCTTTGAAGAAAGTGTCCACTGAAGTGTCACAGATGGGGAATAAATGAAATTAATAAATATATGGTACACAGTTTGATATCTCTTATAGGCCAAGATCAAAGCAAACCAATTGAGTTCTATTCTACCTAATATGTTTTTCTGTGATAAACAGTCCGGCTGAGGAAATAATCCCATCAAGGAAGAGAGAGATTAAAAAAAGAAAAAAAAAAGCATCAGATATATCACTCAGCGCAGACGGTTGGCGGGGCTACCGTGAAGCATCCGTGTTATTATGGGATTGGTAATCTCGTTTCTTGGGTCTGAGTGAAAACGCAGACCTTTTTTTGCGCCTCGCGGTTTTTCTTCCAGAATCAGGTGCAGACATAGAGACAGGAAGACAGACACAGCGGCCCTCTGATACTGTGAGACTCCATCTGCTTCAGAGGGCTCTGGTAACTTCTTGTCTTTCTTTTTTTCTGTGGAATTTCTGAGTAGCTTGATGTATTTGACATGTGTGTGACAGCACTGGTTGTGTGCGATTGGGGTTGAGGCATCATGCTCGCTACTCCGGCTGCGCTTTTTTTTTTTTTTTTTAGGATGGGCATGTATGTGTGTATAATATCTGTTGGAGCCTTACATACACGCAAACACAAACACACACAGTACGAAGGCACACTTTTGTGCTTGTGTACACAGTAGTGTTTTGCGGACTGTGACTAAAGCAGACTGTAATGATATTACTTATGTGCACACATGCGCACATCTACAGTAGCTGGATGCCAGGATATGGATCTGTACAGACTCACAGCAGCACACAGATAAACACACACACACACACACACACACACACACACACACACACACACACACACACACACAGATACACATACACACATACAACACTAGCCCAGAGCCTCACCTTGATATCTTGAGCTTCTGTCATGAGTCAGAATTTGACACCAATGAATGTGTGTCAGGTTGTCAATTTCTTCCAACAGTCTTTGAATGCAGTCTGGCCATGAATAGTGCATGTTGTTTTGTTTTTTAGATTCCAACTGTCTGCAAGTCTGTTTTTGTTTGTTCCAGAATAACTTGGAAGGCCTGTACACTCATGTGCATCCTTTAAGAAAACTTTCAGCAGGTGTTGTGTTGTTTAGCCTAAGGTAAAGATTCAGCCCTGAAGGTAAATTCACCAAACTGCTTCAGATGTGGTGCCCTCCCATTTCTTCCGCCTCAGTTATTGGGATCTGTTTTCCTCCCTCCTGTCTTTAATACACATACTTTGCACCACTTGCCCTCTTTTTGATCCAGCCCCCTTTCGAGTCAGGACACACATCTTTTTATACCGGCGCTTTAATGTTATTAACAGGACATTTTATTTCACTCTAAAAGTCAGGACATATTTTGGCAGCCAGTTCCCATATTCCCTGTAGTGTGCCACATGAGGTCTTTGGCATTATTAGGTCAGAAGAAATGTGAGACACTTCTTGTAAATGTCTCGGAAATATACACAGGGTTGGTTCTCTTTAAACTATCACAACCACTTGGTGGTTGATGCACAGGCCATTCATTCAAAACTTTAAAAGATGTAAAAAGACAGTGGCATGTCGGTGACATTTCTCCTTCCCCTGCTGCTGAGACACCATGCAGAGGCTGTGTGTGTGTGTGTGTGTGTGTGTGCACCTGTAGGGAATTAATATGAGGTTTTGAACCCACATACACACACAGATATAATGCCTCCACATACACACACCTAGGCACAAGCACACACGGGAAGGGCAAGAAGAGGCAGGGTGGGGAAATAGTTGTGAAATTTATTTGGGCATATAGTTTTTATGCCAGTTGCCGTTGGATTTACAGGTCAGAATGGAATGCGTCGCAATGAAAAGAACTTTGATCCCTCCACCAGGTTCACGTTTTTATTGGAGGAGCTCTGTATGGCACAGGGCATCTTTTATTAGGTTGTGAGGAACCCCACGGCAGCCTTCACAAAATCATGAAAATGTGAGACGTCAATGAAAATGGCTGGTTACCAGGTTCCTGTGATATCACAGCTGGTTTTGAAAGCATCATTTGTTAAAATTAATTTATTAATTTGCCCCCCAAATGTCTGATGATTCAGTTTGTATGATTTCGTTTCAGTTTAACAGTCTGCTCTTGTTAGTCTCCATTTTCCAGTATGTTATGTTAAATATTTTACACTAAAGAAGTTTCAGTGTTTATTACTAAAATATACATTTATACTAAGGCAATGTAAAATTGTTGGATACGTATTCAGGTCTGCAAATGCTATATTCCCACTAAGAAAAGGCAGTCTTGGGTTTAAGGAACCATAGTTGAAGTGGCTGTAGAGACAGACTGTAGAAGTTCATAAGGTCCATTAGGTTTTTATCCAAGGAGGTAATGTAATGACTGTATTTTTAATGCCTAATCACAGCACATTTTACCTACACCCACACCATCTCTGCACCCAAATTCCCCAAAAGTTATACACTGAATATATTTTAATTTAGACACGAAAGTGATCATGTAAAAAAGATAAACAACTACATGATAAATGCAGAAGGTTTATGCTGCTTCTTATCAGCCTGTTTTGCTGTGTTGTGTTCTGCAGAGGCGGAGGCTGCTGCGTGAGTTGGGAGATCAGAAAATCCCCTTTCTGGGACCTTCAGATCGAGGCTTTCAGCAACTGGTAAGTCAGCCACACTTCCAGATAATGCTATCGATGCTTAGACTTCTACTTTTAAGGGCCTACAGCAGCCTTTTTCCCTATTGTAACCTGCTGCCACAGCCCTGTATGTGTAATAGTTTGCTCAAGATCTGAGAGATCTGCAGATAAGATTGTAATTGAGTTTTAGTAAGATGCGTTATGTTTTAGTATACCATGATCATCCTGTTATGATAAGAATGTCTTGTGCTTCTAAGTGGGATTCCAGTTACTCTGGCCTGGTCCTGAGGAGATCCTGCTCGCTGCCTGCTGAGCTCCATGGCCGGGTTCAGGCAGCTTTTCTCACCCTGAGAAGGAAGGGCTGCCTCCTGAGGGATTTGGTTCGCGTCCGTGACCGAGATGTATTTACTGCAGTGTCACGGGCTCTTCTGGGTGAGCCGGGCCACACCTATCGCTATCTGGACACACGGCTCTTTGCCATCCCCTGGCACAGTGAGGACACTGAGGTCAAAGGACAAAACTGTTGTGACCCTGACTTGAGGGCTGCCTGCAAGGCATTGTGGGAGCTTAACACGTTCTTCTGTTCTGATGTGTCTCAGCTGAAGGAAGGAGATAGGCTAACTCAGTGTGCAAAGGGGGAGGCAGAGCCCAAACAGGGTGAAGAAGGGGATACAGAGTCTAAACACAGTGAAGACTCTAAGAATAGTGAAGGAGGGGACTCAGGGTCCCGACAAAGTGAAGAAGGGGACACAGAGTCCAAGCACAGTGAGGAGTGGGACATTGAGTCGAAACACAGTGAAGAAGGCTGCTCTGGGTCAAAACAAGAAGGAGAATGGGAGACTGGGTCCAAACACAGCAGTGAGGAGGGAGAGTCCTCTCAGGTCAAACCAAGTGTCACAGTAGGGTCGGAACACAGTGAAGGAAAATTCCCCGGCTGGGCGCCTAAGACCAGTGGCACAGCGACTGAACCTGTGGGACTAGGGACCCAAGAGAAACCCGTGACCCAACTGAAGCACAGCTTGTCAGATTATCACATTGAGAACAAGGCGGAACAGGCAAGCGGGCAGGGCTGTTCCCAGCCGAGTCCTCCGCAGGTATGCACTGGTCCGGTCAAGTTCAACGTCACCTTACTCAACTACATGAACCCAGCAACTATTAGCCAGCTCAAAGAGGAACCTTACTTTGGTATGGGGAAAATGGCAGTAGGGTGGCACCACGATGAGAACCTCATCACACATTCGCCAGTGGCTGTTTACAGCTATAGCTGTCATGACGACAAAGGTAAGGGTCAAAGCTAATAAAGCTTACTTGTCACAACTGTGCTACTTGGATAATGATAGTTGAGATCTGTAGATTTAACACTTTAGACTCTTTTATTTCACTCTTATACACTTGAATCCAAAGTATTTAATGGTAGTCTTTGGCATGGTGTTTATGAAATTAAGATTCCTTTTTGTCTTTCGCTGCAATATCCTATTAACTTATCTCAGCTGCTTTATGGTGGATCAGATGCAGCTAACCTTGTGTATTCTGGCCCTACAGCAGTTCTGTAGCAGCTGTAGACATGGCCTCTAGTGAGTCAACCATCAGATCCATCTATGTGATAGTGTCAAACCATTATCAAATGTCATCACAGGCTTGCTGCTGACAGCCTTATCGCTGACGTGCGTTGGGAGATCACAGACATTTGGATCTGAGCTTTTAACATGCGCTCAATAGCCAAGTCTGACAAACAGGCCTTATCACATCTCATCTAAATCATTTCCCCAAGAAATGATCGATGTGCAATTATCTGATATGGAATAATGAGCCCTGCTTTGATAAGTGTTCCTAGACTGTACTGTATGGATAATACGATGTCTCCTAATTATGGAATGTGCACTCTTTCGAGAGCTGATAGTATTTCCAGATCGAGTTGATAGAGAGTCTCAGTGAGAGAACTATGCCTTCTAGAGCATAATGCAAAACAACTAGAAGACAGTACCCCCATATCAAGAATATTTTATGTAAATTAGGCTCCTCATAATTTGTATGTTTTCAGTGTCAGAGTTTGCATACTGTAATTTTATTGTAAAACAAAGTCTAATGTCCTTGAGCAGCCGCTCAGCAGATCATTCCTAGCCAAAGGAAAGGCCGTCCACAGGCTGGAAGGAGAGCAAAACACGATTTCCTGTTGTGAAGGGAGATAAAGGTGCAGCAGTAGTTCAGCAAGCGTTCCTACACAGCCTGCATCTGTGTCATGTCTGTGTCTTAACAGTATCATACAAGTGCAATACCAACTGCTCTGACATCCCAGCACATTTTATAGCTCGACTTTCTTCATTGGGGTTCCCTAATCAGGAACACCTGCTGCAGAGGTCTGCTTCAATGATTTGTTCCAGGCCATTTCAACTTTGACCCTGCGAACACGGGCTTCAAACACTATGGCATAACACCTTGCCGTGCGTAACAGCTGTGTCTTTTCTAGTCCTGAATGACCCCACAGCTCCAGACTTGAGAGAGGAAAGTCTGATCAGAGCTATATCCCAGTGGTTGGCTCTGAGGACTCCCAGAACCTGGCTAATGAAATTGTTACCTCAAGGAATGTTGCACTTTAACAATAGGTTCACGTTTCTCACATTGTCCCTGAGAAGAAAGAGACCTGTTCCCAAGAAGAAAGAAAAACGCAGCACATTAGGTTTCTTAGATGTACCGAGACTAGGTGTTTTGCATGACACCTGCTTCATTTGAGGGGCTTTTTTTTTTCTTTTTAAGCAGCCTCACCTTGTTTTTTTGCTTCAGCCAGAGAAGTGTTCTGAGTGTTTTTCTCAGCTGTGCTGATCCAAAGGAATCTGCCACGACTGAGCTTTTTCCGGCACGGAGGATGATCTTCCACCATTCCCGAGGCCTTGGGGAGTGCTGTCATTAGCTGGCTCTCAGAGCACAATGGCTGGAAATTAAGTTACTATTTATCCGTGCTGAGCAAAGGAAAAGGCAGCTGTGGGGCAGAGAGGCCCAGAAAGACTTTAGTATTGATTTTGCTGAAGGGTGTTGGCCAGCCAAGCCAAATCTTGTTTTCTTAGTGTGCCATGTAAGAATGGAAGGAGAGAGAAGAGCAGGGGAGGTGGTTACAGTGAATGGGTTCAGAAACAGGAATATCATAGGATACCTACTGTCCAATAACACACTCTCACACACTCACTAAACAACATCAAGGGCTTTTATCTAACGATTTCCTCTTGCACAGCATAATGATGGCATAAAGATCCTGTGCTAACAGCCAATATGATCACAGCAACACATATCATCTTTGCTCTGCTGTTAAGTGATTCTTACTTTCTGGTGGAGACAAAGGCATTACATCTTACATCCATTGTTTGGGTGTTATGGATTTAATCATGGCACTCTTTACTTTTTAAAGTGGTAACCATTCATATTCTTTCATTTATTTATTTTTTGGCCACATCTTTGCTGTTTTAGCACTGCATTACCACATTATCACTTGAATTTTCAGATATAAAAAAATGTGGTTTAAATAAATATTATTACATTACCATTATTATAAAGTGTAAAAAATACATTTTTCCATAAAAATGTGAGGAATTTAAGTTTAAGCATATTACACTTTTACACTCAGTTTGAGTCACTCTGGGCGAAACTGTCAAACCAAAAGCCTGAAATGTGAATATAAATGTAAAATGCAAATGTTACAGTGAGTTGGGCTGTGTATGACTGACAGGTGAGAGCAGTGAGGGAGGCAGCGGTGAGAAGGCATGCTGGAGGATTGGGCTCAAGGTAGCCTGGGACATCCACACACCTGGCTTGATGCTGCCACTGGAGTCTGGAGACTGCTATTACATGAGAGGTACTAAATCTTCTCTATAAACACACACGCACATACACACATGCGCATGTAAACACGTTGCTCACACAACTCAGCCACATTTACCACCATGTCTGACTTTGGAGGAAGGAACACTTTTATTACCCTGTGTTTTAGTGTTTCATGTACTTTGTCCCAAATGACCCATACCAGCAGGATGCACTTCCCTCTCACTCTCTATTCTCTTCTTCTAACCCTCTCCGCAGGAGAAATGGAGCTGAGGTGTGTGTGTGTGTGTGTGTGTGTGTGTGTGTGTGAGAGAGAGAGAGAGAGAGAGAGAGAGAGAGAGGTAACTTGGCCTGAACACAGAGCTTTAAGGTTCCATGAAATTGTGTGCATTAGAGAGGTTAGGAAAACCAAATGTTATTTTTTGAAGTCCTGTGACCCAGTGCTGACTATGTCTCTATGGAGAGGACAGACAGCGAGCCACAGGGGTGTAAATCATAGCTTAATGCTCTTGGCTGCAACAGACACCTCCACCCTCCTTTTTTCGGCCCAGTGGGCCCTTCTAAGCGTTCTCGTATTTTCTGAGTGTGAGGACATTTATCCACATCACAGCACAGGCTTGTGTTCAGATGTACAAGAAGTTAGAGCCCCTGATTGGATGAATGGGGTATTTAGGATTGTTTAAGGGAACTTGCTATAATAAATATATAAGGATAGGCATACAATAAAAACTTGAACAATACTTGATTCAGTTGTCCCTTCATTTGTTTTTTTAAATCAATAATTGATTGATGTAATTTGTAAGCTGTAGAAAAATAAAATATATGTTTAACTGATCAATATTACAGACTGGAAATAATATCTATATTATTGCTCATTGTCATATGTTTACATACCAAAGTGCAGTCTTATTTATTTTCTTCCAATGTCTTCCCCCAACTTTGTTTCACAGTTTACTTTTAACCCAGACACATGCCTCCTCTCATATACACTATATCCCTAACTGCTTCTTCCCAACCTTATATTTCTAACAGCAAAACTGTACCCAATATTTATCTATAAATCAATATGTCAAACAGATATTCTTTTATTTCCTTATATTCTGTATTTTATTTTTCAATCTGTTAGCTGTCTAGCTATATAATAATATATTCTATGTATTTGACCTAGTGATTAGAGAGACTTCCTTGTGATTAAAAGATCACAGTTTTGATCCCTCAACACAGTAAATACGTATATGCATCTAGCGTACAACCACATATGCTGTCAGTGTTTTTTATGAAGACACTGAACCCCTACTTGTGCACTCTGCATAAATGTCAAAATCATAAATACACTGCTAAGATTCACAGCAACTTTCATCTGAGAACAGAGTTTGGAGTCAGGGGGATGTAACCTAGGTGATTTACAGGCCTATATAAAACTCACTTTTGGAGGAAATACACTGTTTTCTGTATTTATTTGATGATTTTGTTGAATTTCCTTTTGTGTTTTTTTTGCCTGAGACACCACAAGGCCATTTTCTACAACAACAAAACACACAACCAGACTACAAAATGTGCATTTCCTCAAAAGAGGTTTGGGTTGGCGACAAGAAAATTGTACCTAGCACTGCTAACATATAAGATATTTATTTAACTGGTTCACTCTGATTTTAAATATATATATATTTTTTTTTGCATGGACATATAGGTGCACAAACACATGGGCTGTCCAGATGTTGCAATGCTGCATACAAATGCTGTAATCTAGAGTTATCAGCGTGATTACAGCAGGTGGGAAATTGCTGTTTTGTTAGCATTGGGAAAATGTTACACAGGAAGCTGACTTACAATCTAGTTTTAACTCTAGTTTTAAGCTTTAGCTTTAAGAACCGAGTTTCTTAGAAAAACAGAACAATTCCTGCTGACTTTTTGCAAGGTTGTTTCTACAGCAGTTGTTACTACTGCCAGCTGTGGAAAGGTTGTTAGTCTGCCTCTAGATAATTATTAGGTAGTTGCCAATAGGTGACTAATAAGTGTTTTTAAATTGGAATAATTGTTGTACAAGTAAGAAATAGGAAGGTTTTAATGAATTCCTGAAGTTGACTCTTTGAAGCTGCTATGTTTTCGTCTGAGAGCAGCGATGTCTGTACCTAATATTCAGCTTGACAGGGCTTGAAGCCGACCTCCTTTAGCTGGATAAGATTTACAATAGAACAGTCAGTTTCAGGCCAGCCATGATAATAGAGTGATGGGCTGTTGTGCAGACCATTCTAATGGGACTTGACTGTCGCGGATCAGTGGGGATTTATGCTCCACTTGGTGAGTACGCCCTTGAGAGGCCAACTGCTGCACAATGATAGCAGCTCGCACAGTCCTTGGCTGTCTGTTGCTTTGTCGGTCTACCTGAATTAAATACTTGGCACAATGCACGAACATATGCACGCACCTATAAATTTGCACAACTGGCATGCACAAAAATACATGCTCTCACACATGCAAAGAATGCAGTCCTCTGCTTATTGGAGGAAAGACACCCCCCCACCCCATTTCAAACAAACACACATATGTACACACAGACAGAGCAGCCACCTCTAAACCATGTGTTGAAATATATTGTAGCAGTGTTTTAGTGACATACACTGTATGATAGATAGTTTTGTGGTATTAAAAGAAAACTACACTGGTGTATAACCACAGACACTGTAATGTCTTTTCAGCACCATTTGTCGCCGGCTGGCCCTTTTGAACTGCTAATGTCTGAGCTGCTGGAGGCAAATTGAATCACCATCATTTCCACCCAAATGGAATTTCAGTGGTTAAAAAAGAACAATGCAAGTCTTGACACCGGGCCTGTTCAATAATCAGATTTCCAGCTCCCAATGCACAGGGGGACTGGAGAAAAGAGTTGACCCAATATATTTAAAAGCCTGCTTCCTGGAAAAGGAGGACAAGTGGCAGCAGGCGCAGGGGTTGAAAGAAAGATAAATATTTATTACAGTTATCGAGTTTGCCACTACTCCCTCCTGATCCCACTGACGCATCAGACGCGCCAAGAAAAGAGCAGATTGATGGAGATAATTTGTTATTGGATATAAACAGTTTTAAAGACGCAGAGTAATTCTGCCCAGAGACCTAATCCTTCACAATCTCATCAGGGTGAAGAAAACACCGGCAAGTTGTTTTGTTTGTCACCATCTTTTTTTTCCTCCTACCAAACAATAATATCTTGCTCCCAAAGCATTTGGCTGTTTGACTTTCAAATCACAGGCATTAGCCAGTGTACTCTTGCTCAAGGCGGGTGTAAATATGCACATGTGCTGTGAATGACAGCTCTGTCATGGCTAAATTAATTATTGGTATGAGGCAAATAATGGCATAGCTGAGAAACATCTATGCACACAAAGAAACACATGGAGGGATACACAGGAAACAGCAGTAAGGCCTCTTTGTAAAGCTTCTGTGGTATTGGACAAATGTTTGTTGGTATGGCTCTTCCATCTTGACAGATTGAGCGCGATCTGGTTTTGTTTGGTAATTAAAATTATAGCACAATGCTGCTCATTCTATTCGATTCGGGGCTGGACCAAGCGCAATCTGTCTGAGCGTACAAGATGATTTAGTTGTCATGTTCCTTCACGTCCCGCTTTTCATCTGTTTTTCTGTTGTAATCAGTTCTTTTCTTTTCATGGTCTGTTTTATTATAATTAATTAAAATCACAAAATCAAAATTGTATTTCTTAACTCTTATTATCTATTCTGTTGCATTTTTGCTCTATAATGTTTTATTAATTTTTTTTTCTTCTGATGGATGAATATTTTTTTCTTTTCTTGTCTGTTCCTTTGTTTACTCTTTTTCACTTCCCTGTTGATGATTGTTGGTGGTATTGTTATCATGTTCTGATGGTTTCTCCTCCCTGTATTCACCAGATGACTTGAACAGTACCCACCAGCACTGCGTCCTAGCTGGAGACACTGCACGCTTCAGCTCCACGCACAGAGTGGCCGAGGTGAGAAGCCAACAAGCCTAAAAGAAAAAAGAACAGCGTTTCGAATTTGTCGTGAAAATGCTTTATAGCGTGCCAACAGTCCCCTATAAAACAATACTGAGAAATATAAATGATTAATGGCATTTATGTAGGGTATAAAACCTGTAGAGTATGTATGTATATTTAGGTGTTTTCTACCTTTTGAAAAAATGGCAATGGATAATCACAGTTCCAGTTAATTACCAAGACCTCTACGTGGTTGTTATTTGTATGTTTCAGTAGCTTTATGTAAAACCTAAAAGTTACGTTTTGGATTATCTTTTGATGCACAGGGGTTTGCTAAACCCTGCATGACATTTATTTGTATAACACTGGGTGTGCCCTGTCCTATCAGTGTTCTAGTGGGACCCTGACCTACATCCAGTCACAGTGCCAAAAGGCCCTGTCCAACCTTCACACTGACCCAGAGACAGGCTCCCACAGCCTGTTGGCCCTGCTGCCGACAACGCTACAGCACTGTGAGCAGATTCACAATGAGGTGGGGAAATGATGGTGTGTCTTCACATGCATGTGCATGTGTGTGTGTGTTTGTATATGTGTGTTCTACATGATTGCACACAGATTTTTCTTTTGTTTTTGTATGATTTAATGTGTGTGTGTGTAAAGTCATTTGTGTGTATTGTATTGTGTACTGTGAAAGGTCCATTGTTTAACACAGCAGAAATGGTATATAATATTAAAAGGTATCTTTTCATTAGTGTATAATCATGTGGAAATAAGAATCATTATGTTTTCGTTACCCTAGAAAGAGACCTTTTATCTACAGATGCCATGGGTCGCCTTCATTGACAGCTGTTTCTACAGTAGCCCAGAACATACAAACCAAACACTGGGTCTGAATAGTATGGTTTGCATTTTTTACCTATTTCTCCTTTGTGCTTGGAAATGGAGGGTGAAGCGAGGGAGTTGCAGTTTGCAACTACACCGCCAGATGTCACTAATTCCTACACACTGGTTCTTTAAGTCTGTGTAGATGTTAACTTGTAACTTGTAGAAACCTTTTGTCGCAATTGTTGTTGAAATTTGTTTTGGCTTGCTTGGAGTACCAGATGAATGAGATTTGTCACATTGGACAACAAAATGTGTGCCAAAAAAGTTTAGACAATAGCCTGCCAATCTTTGAAAGTTTTAATATACAGTATGTTTCTATGATCATGAACCTGCCTGACACTATCTGAATTGTTCTGATGCTGTAGTCCTTGCCCATCTGGTGCTCCAAGGAGGTTAAAAACAGCTTAGAACTATCTGCAAATATTACAAAATTTCATCAGGACAGGATCTCACAAGACAAGACAAGAGAATTCATGCATATGAATAATATGGATAAAAATTGAATTAAGGAATTTAACTTTGTTTGAACAAAGTTAACATTTGTGCTGCAGAACATTTGTAGGAATCTACATGTATATGCTTACAGTACACTGATTAAATAAATACATACTCTCAGGGTGATCAATCCTACATACAGGTGCTAAGTTACCCGGCCAAAGTATAATTAAGGACGTAAAGACTTATATACTGACAAACGTAAAACTGGTACTTGAAAGTGTTCTATACAATATGGCCAACCAATTAATCCTGATTTGATTTGCTCTTTCCATTTCCTCTGCATCATGGGACTTACAAACCATACTGGCAGTCTGCTGATAGCAGGTTAAAACTCTGTAAACGGCAGAATGGGAGCTTGCCAGCTTTCTACCTTCTACTTACCTGGATGTTTAATGCCTCCAATATGAAATCCAGGTTGTTCTCATTTGTCCTGGCCTGTGATGGATCGTAAGGCAATAGCCTCTCCATATGTTATCTAAAGATGGAGTCATGCCCCGCTCCCCTCCCTAACCCCTTTTCACACACAACAACGAGTGATGCTGGCTTGGGGTATTGAGGGAAAGAGTGAGGTCAAAAAAGAGGAACGTGAGGGGCCGTCTGCGGAGCCACCAGCCTCCTGTGCTAGCATGCCGCAGGCCAACAGTTAATATAGCGCTTCACCTCTCCCCCTTTACACCCCTGGGCTCAAAGCACATATCCTAGCTGACGCAAGCACCTAGGCCCCTCAGCAGGACGCCATGACAGATGAGTCTGACGTAAGGTTGTTTAAAGGTTGTAGACAATATTAATTATTCAGCACTGCCAAACAATAGGGCTGTCTGTGTCAGGAGGAGCGCTGCGCTAGTTGAGCTAGCAACACCTGCTAGTTTTGCCGCATAGCGCCACAGGATTACCAAGCGTAGACCCCCACCAGGACAGCAAGGCAGGTTTATTTAGGAAAACAGGGTGCTATTTATAACAGAGCAGGTGTGTGTGTTTGTATGTGTGAATGTTTAAGTAAGGGGGGTGCCCTCGGGGGCTCAACCCTACCCTACCTGGCACTCACAATGATCGATGTGGCCATTTGTTTGGAGTTGCCCACGAGAGCAGAACACCCACTTTAATGATGTATTGTTGGTGGAGTTATTTATGATGGCGGCCCACTTTGGCGCTTGGCGGGTGCATATTGCGCAGGTCGTGTTTGACATGGACGACCAAGGAGTGAACAAGCCTGAGACGCACAGGCAGCCTGACCTGAGCAGTGCCTTATGGGCCTTTCCTTAAAAAGTGTTAAACAGCAAGCTCTGGCTGATGTGCCATGGATATTGTGCAATGTGGTGCAACGGGGGTGGGGGGAGTGGAGGTTGACATTTGTCAGAAGATGTGGGCGGGTCTGACGATGATAAAGCAGAACAACTGCCATCTGAGTATGAGTGTTCAGGGATGGGGCGGGATGTCGAGTTGAGGTAGGGGTTGATGGGAGACAGACAGAAATGAAGAAAACTGAAGTTCCCACCTGTTTGTTAAGCGCGGCCCCTCTCACTGTCTCTTTTTAATCTTACCTCCTGTCTTAGGTGGTGGGGGGGTAGTCTAACATAGCATCGCCACACAGCCCCCATGTGCATGTTTGGCTTTGAAATGCTAATCCCAGATGCAAACGTCTTGTCTCATTTAAAGCCACTGTGTCACTTCCCAGGTGGGTGTGTGACAGAGTGCCCTGAGGGACCCCCTCTAATGATGCTAGTCCCCCCTCAGTAAATATTGAAGGGAGGGACAAGGTTTTCCCACATGTTCTGGCAGAAAGTAAACTGTGTGTAAGCAGGTGTGTGTGACCTTCCAAAGTCCTGTTTTCAGGCCAGAATGTCTCCCCAGGCTCTCCAGTCTTTGCTTGGCTTTGAAACACACTTATGATGGCAATTTCATTGTAATCTTATAAATCACTTCTCAGAGCATAGTTTGACTAAGACAGGAAAAACACTTGTAGCTACATTTGTGGCCTGAGAGGGAAAAATTGAATTGAACATTACTACTTTATGGATGTAGATAGAAATGGAAATGTATACGACAATCAGTGCATGTACAGTATAAGTTAGCTTGTGTAAGACCAGTCTGGCAAGTGTGTGATGAGTGTAAATTGCGTGCCTGGTTGCTCACAGAGAGCTCGGGGGGACCAGTTCTCCTGGCTTCTGTGAGGAGGCCGGGAAAGGTAAACAGAGGACGGCAGAGTGGGATCGATCCCATTCTCATCAGCTCCCACCTCAGGGCCCTGGCCCGGAAATTGATTGGACCCGCTCAGGGAATACCGTGAAGGTGTGGAAAAAAACGTGCCTCATTAAATGGGAAAAAAGGGGGCTACTTGGCCTTAACTCCGGAGTTGCCATGGTGGGCGACTGGTCGACTAATGTGGGGCTAATGTTTAGTTAGTGTGTCCATCACCTGGAGAGATGACAGCGATTGCCGCAGGGGAGCCACTAGCTCCCCTCTCGCTCCCCCACGCCATCTCACAGAAAAACTAGCCCTAACAACCACTCTCTCTTTTGCACATACTTTCGATCTGTCTGCCTGGATAGGTGGCATTTAGTCAGAGTTCCCCTCTTGGTAACTCTCAGCTGGGTGGCCAGACTCCAAATGCCACATAGCCAGCACTCCTCAGTAGCTTTAGATGGCCTGCTTTGTGGCTGCCACTGGCCTGCACAGTGGGGGACAGGCAGCCATGTCAGCTCAAAGTGGAGACACAGGTTGGCTTCTTCTCACTAAAGGACAGGCAGACAATCAGAGAGATGGAAGGAGGGACTGACAGAGAGAAAAGGACGTCCGATATCGGTGCTCGGAGGCTTTGTTGTGTGTTTGAGCTGTAGTGATCGAAGGGGAGTGGATTTGGAGAGTGTTGAAGGGACCATAAAGGATGACATTTCTTTGAAGGGTGGGTTGTATGGAGTGACTGAGAGGCTGCTGAGCAGTGCCACTGGCTGTGTATTCTCCCTGACATGCCCCAGTCCTTGCATGTCATCCCCGCTGTGATCAGAGCCTTTTGGAAGCAAATGGCAGGATGATTCTGTGCACAGCTTCTATCCAACGCAGACCTCACTCAAGTTGTTGGTGCAAATAATTCTTGCCCTTTGTTTTAACTTGCCGGGGCCAGACAGTAGGTGACTTTTGTAATACTGAGCAATGACCACTTGAAAATTTCTACAATTACAGCACAATATTTTCGGCTCAGTGTTCATACTTTTCCAGGGGTCTTTTGTTAGCAAGAATCAGAGTGTGGGGAGGACTTCATTTGAGTTCCAGAAACCTTCAACACATTTTAATGCTGCTTTGCCTAGTGGGTTATGCTTCTTCAGAACTAGTTCGTAAGACATGTTGGCCAACCACATCAAAAAATGTTTTTTTTTCATAGTATGGAATAGTATATTATATAATATATTACTGATATATATACTATTTAATATTATATTAGTAGAATGGCCATACTCGAAAGCAGGGTGGGGGGCAGCAAAGGGCCTGGGCCGGATTGATATTGTATATTTTCAGTCAGACAGTCAGTTTTTCAGTCTATCCTGGTAGACATTCATAGTGTTGCACTCATTGGTTCACATGGAAAGTGAAAGAAGTAACTCTGTCAAGAATTAAAAGAGAGCTTGAGAGAGTTCAAACCATGGCTCCTTTCTCACCTCCTCACAGCTGACCAATCACAGCGTGAAGTGGGTGTGAATGTCAGATTGGCGCCCCCCAATCCAACGTCAGAAAAGGTGCTGAGGCAGGGGGTTTTCCGAAGCTATTCAACCTTCCGCCAAGCAGTTCTGACACAGTACACCGGCTCCTTAAGGTTGAAGGTAGACTCCAGGGTTTTAGAATAAAGAAAACCCTTTCTCCCATTAATTACACTATACATAACCTAATTTCATTGGATATTAATACTTACCTCAGAAGTAGTGATTTGTCTCACGGCCCTTCAAAACTTGCCAGTGCAAATTGTAGTATATGAGCATAATTTGTAACAGACAAACTAAGAGTGACAAAGTGTAAGAGTAAGCTGGATGAGAGTGGATGACTGGTTTACCCAAAAGTCTGTGCCAGTTGAATGGAATGACATGTACAAGATCAGTGAGACAAAAAGTACAAGCAAATATCTTTCATAAAAAAGAAATAATATTTTCATTTCATTACACTTTTTGGGTAGAACTCACCCGCTTGTTGCGAGATTTGTGAGTTCGCAGCTCTACAAAGGGTCTGTTGTATGCACTGGCTAATGCTCTGTTAGAAGAACAATAAACAAAATAGTTTTCAGAAAAGGAACAATAGCTCTCTCAGTCCCATTTGATATGCGACTCCTTTGCATGAAACCAGTTTTTGTGTTGTACAGTTGTCTGCGTCAAAATGAAATGGAGCGTGCATTGTTTTGGGTGGATGATGCTTTGTAGGATGTTTTGGGGGAGGGCAACTCACAGCGCCTCGCATTTACGTTGGTGGCAATTGGGGCAATCTTTGACATACACACTCACATTGGCAATTGTATGCAAAGACGTTAACAAAGCCACTCGCACACCTATGTAGACAGATACACACAAGGGCGCAAATACACTGCTGCACATACAGGTACAAACACACTAACATGAACACGGAAAGACACATTTAGAAATAGATAGGCTACACCTGGCTACATGAAGCATCCTTGCGAGGATTAAATCAGCACTTCAAAAGAGCAGGAAACAAAAACACTCCCAGCGGAGGAGAGGGGAGCGGCTCGGCAGCCGAGACTGTCATCTCCAGACGGTGCAAGGGAGTGGGAGAAAAGGGGAAGGAGGGAGGAGAGGAGGAAGAGGGTGGAGTTTTCAGGTGTGCTGACTAGAAGGTGTGTGTGAATAGACATATACATATTTGTGTGTGAATGTTCTGTGCGTCTGTTTCTTTGCAGTTTGTGTTTGTTAAGGGTGTGATTGTACTCACAGAGATGACCAATATTTGTACAATATTCACACATGTAATTAAAAATGTGTCTTTACTGTGTTGTTCCTTTCAGTGACTTCATAAAAATTCCATGTACTGGTATAATTTTATGACACAAAACATATGCAACAATTTAAAGCAATTAATACATTTCCAAGTTTAATTTCTCACAGGGATAAACTGACATTTTAAACTAGTTTTGAAAAGTTTCTATAAAAATACATATATATAATACTATATATATATGTATGTATTTATATATAATATATGTATATATTTTATATATACATGATTTGTTTGCAGATATGTAAGACATACATAATGTTCCATTATGTACATTATAATATGAAACATATTATAATTTCATATTTTTTAGTATAATATATAACATGTTTCCTCTACATTAAATTAAATGTTATGCTATTATGTTTTTTTTTTTTTTTTAATGAGGAACAGTGACAGTTAAAAAAATAAATAATTATATTTTCCCCACTTTTTTTTAAGATCGAAAAAATCTGGGAAAATCGGTTGTCAGTCTGAACTAGCTTTTTCATCCTGTGTGTGTCTGCAGGTGGAGTTCGAGTGGCTGCGGCAGTACTGGTTTCAGGGCCAACGCTACGCCCGCTTTTGCAGCTGGTGGACCAGACCGATGGAGCAGCTGGAGAAGGACTGGAGGCTCATGGAGACGATGGTAAGGCCTCTCAGACACGCTGCTGGTCACATGGCAGCCTCACAGTCTGATTTCTAAGCCTGCACAGTTTATGTTACTACATTACTAGTCCGTGAGTAGTCAAAGTAAATGTATTTCCATTTGAATTTGCTATTGCTACTCTTTTTTGTCTTCACCTGTTCAGGTTTAGACACTCTATCCCCAGTCCTAGGCTTTACATTGATGCTTTTAATTTACAAAAACTGTTTTATATGAGAATATAGAAAACAACATTTATTGACCCTGTTTTTAATAATATATTGTAAGGAAATATCTAATATATTGTTGTAATAATAATAATGATAATAATAATAATAACAATAACAATAATAATTTTAAAATGTGAGCAGCTTCATGACTAGTGCAGCCATTCTGTCATTCGTCTTTAATAACAGTTTCACCTTTCTAAATGCTCAACATGCCTCTGCTTATGCTTCTTATACAAACTACGTAAGTGATCTGCTGTCCAATAATGCTCCTCACAAGGGAGGGTGTGTTTAAAATTACATGATGGATTGTCTAACTTCTCACCACGGCGCATTATTAAGGATGTGTCATGTGTTTAATCATGGCCTCACTGAAGTTTTATTAGAGAGGAACGTGGGCACGCAGCTATTAGTTAGACACCACTGTAAAGGAATCACACTTAGAAATGTCAGACTCATAATTAAGTCACCTTAGTCACAGCTCTGTACTGTACATATGTACCGCAGACACACACACACACACACACGCAGCAGTGTAGATATACAGCTCACAAACACACACAGATACATGTACATGCTTGGTCCCGCTTTCTCTCCCTCCCCACAGGTTCTATGCAGTCCCTCACTCAGAGCTAGATTTCAAAGTGTGTGTGTGTGTGTGTGTTCATGTATGTACGTGTGTGTTTAACATCCAGATACCAGAAGCAGCAGGGGGCACTCTTGTATCACTGTAGCAGTAGCGGCGGGAGCGAAAGAGCTGTGCTCCTCTTTTCCTCTCTGCTCCCTCTCCTTCTCTCTCCCTGTGTCTCCTTATGTCTCTTACCCATTCCTGCTGTCTCTGGGAGCTCTCTGTCTCTGTCAGTGTCGAGCGCTGAGCAGTAATCACATCTAATGCTCAGGCGGGGATAAAGACAGGGTCTGGAGGAGAACAGTACTGCTGCTGCCGACGCTGCTCGGCTCTAGTCATAGTTTCTCTCTCTCTCTCTCTCTCTCTCTCTCTCTCTCTCTCTCTCTCTCTCTCTCTCTCTCTCTCTCTCTCACCCTCTCTCTCACTTAGTTGAACAGCCTGGCAGAGGGTGGGGGGAAAGTGGGAGTGGGGGGGTTAGTAGACAGGGGCTAAACTCATCTAGAGCTCCACCTTTGGGCCCAGATGAAGTGTGTGATTTGGACCTGTATTTAGAAAAGGGCATCAGTGAAATGTGAGGTCTTTCTCTCTCTCTGCAGCCGTGTCTCTCTAATGGACAAGCAAACCATATCCACTGTGTGTGTTTGTGGCTGTGTGTCATATGTGGATTTCTGTCATGCAGTAGAAACTTACAGTAAATCAAATGTCAGCCACTTTTAGCTACAAAAAAATTAAATCAATAAAATAAGAAATAAAAACAAATTGAATATATTCATATATTTTTTTAATAAAATTACTATACAGTATTTTAATATTTAATATTTTACACCGATGATATGTGTTTATAATAACATTAAAATTACAGTTTAAATTATTTGAATACCTTTTATTTAATCACATAGTGTCAAATCACACAAAAGCAAGTACATCTTCTGCACAAATGCATACTGAACCTTCGCAAAAATAATACGCTGGTGAATGCATAAATGTAATCACTCACTATTGTGATGAAAGACAACATTATTGCTCTCGCAAGCAATATTTACATACATGCACCGACCTCTGATATGCTGATGAAAAGCACTTTATAGATGTGACTTATAGATTTTCCTTTTGGAGATTTTGATAGCTGTGGCTTTTCTGCAGTTAGATTAAAATGCATTTCTCTAAATTACTTTGACTTATTTAAATTATATGGGTTCCCCCTACATTCCTTTATTGCATATATTTTACATTTCGAAGCTGGCAATTGACAGTATAGTGTAATTTAGTGAAATACGAGTGACCTACTGTGTGCAGATGCTGTTTGCCATTTATTTATTTCGACTTTTCTGTTCTTGCCTGCAGAGTATATTTTAATAAAGCATTATTTTTGTCAAATTTGATATCACCGTGGGTATTTTAAAATAACAAATATATGTCTCTTTAAATAGGGTTTATAAATTGACACTGTGTTGTTTTGTACACAGTGCTGTAGCAATAAAACAGCCTATTGTTTTATCCTGCTAAAATAGCAATACAAACAGCCAGCCTTCCTCTCTTTATTGTCATATTTAGCACAGAGTGTTGTGGGATGCGCTGGGCTATGTATGCGTTTGTTAGTCCGTATGAAGAATATTGCAATATGGGGGGACTAGCTCCTGTTTATGGATACTGTCTCTCCCTGGGGCTCCCTCTCTGCTCCTCAGCCTGTTGTCATGCAAATGCTCATCCTTCCATTTGAATGACATTCTGATAAAATACATAAATAAATAAATAAAGAACCGACACAAAACAAGTCCACTTGCTCGCTCGCCTCTTTTTGGTACCTCATGAATTCATGTGGTTTCTTGATAGAAACAAAGAGACGTGCTGCTGAATAAACTTCAAGTGTAGGCTTGTGCATTAGAATGTACAGCAAAAGTATAAAGTGTGTATGAATGTGTGTGTGTATGGGGGGTTTAGTGTATGTAAGGTAAAGGTTGTTTCTGGATGGAAAAAGGACATCAACTTAAAGGTTTTACACTCCCCTGTGATTCAGGGTGCTAAAGTCCATTTAGACCTGCCTCGCTCGCAGCTTTCTGTTCCCTCAGGACTCTGCTATCATGGCTATCATACAATAGTGACATTTCCTTAAACTAGCAACAATGAATAGCTTTCCGTCTGACTGACAATAGACAGAGAATCTTGGCTTTATGCAGAATATTTTAAATACCGGTGTGGTATTTTTTATCTCTCCTCTTTTCACTGTGGGGGAGAAGCGACAGCGACGAGCCCATGAGCACATCTCCCCTTTTTTCTCCTGTCCTGTGCGTGTGTGTTTGTGCGAGTGTGTGTATGTGTGTGCCATTGATGTTAATGTATGCACTTGGCATGACTTTAATTGATTTAGCAGCTCTGCTTGCACAGTACAGCTTTTTCCCTAATTTGTCACTTTCCTGACTTCTGTGGCTGCTCATCTCACAACTTCAAAAGCCACCGTGGATGCAAAGAGATTTCAATGCACTCCGTTTCCCTCCCCCCCCCACCCCTCTCTCTCTATGTTCTTTATTTCTCTTGTTCTCTCCCTCTCTCGCTCCCGCTATCTCGCCATATCTCTGTCTCTTTCTCACACTTTCTCCCTCATTTGACAGCGGAGCGAGCCTTGTAGATGGAAATCTTTTCAACACATATCAAGGAAATTAATCTACTTTCATAATAAATGGGATCCACTCAGTTGAATACATTTGTATACTTCAAGATGTACAAAACAGGAAGTGGTATCCGGGCCACGTCTTCCTCTACTCCATTCACCCAGCCTGTCACTCCCTGTTTTCCCGATGGTTTGGTCACACACACATATATACACTCTCTCTTTTTTCTCTCATTGTGTGACAAAATTTACCTCCTCTGATTTGTAATAGAGGCTGACTTTTGCCTGTTTGCGTGCGCGTGTGTATGTGCAGGGATGCGCCTAGTGACCATTTCATCTTCTCCCCTCACTTTAATAACTGTCTTCGGAAACAATCTGGGCCGCTGAGGAGGGTTGCACTGCAATCATACGCAGCCTGGCCCGGTCGCCATCGATAGCTGATTAGGTTATTGACCTAGCGTGTGCAGGGTGGGTGCGGAGGAGTGGCCGGGGAGGACAGGGATGGGGGGGGGTTGTGAACTGTAGGGAGAGTGTAGTGACAGATACAGAGAGGGGGGAGGAGGTTAAAGAAAAAAAAAATAGAGAGGGGTTGTGTGTGTGTGTGTGTGTGTGTGTGTGTGTGTGTGTGTGTGTGTGTGTGTGTTGGGGAGGAGGGGGTGGGGGGGGTCAATGTAAATGTTATTGCTGTGTGAGCTCATTTGATCAAAGTCCTGGAAAGGTTAAGCGAATCCAATCTGGTTTTGTATGGCAGAGTGGAGACACAGGCGCTAGGGAAGAAACCCCCAGGACGGAGAATGGATTATCATATTGGCGCTGGAGTAGCAGGGGCCTCCGACGGACAGTTTACCCTGCCCGTAATGCGTTTAGACAGCAATTGGCCTTAATAACCTTTATTGACTTCAGCGGGTCAGTGCCAAGAATCTAATTATCAAAGTGTATCAATTTCATTGGAGTTTAGAGTTGCACCGCTCACAATAATTATTTTAAGGTCGGGCTGGGGCAATTAATCCCCTCTCCACTTATTTGATGGCTTTGTAAAACATTATAAATGTTATGGTTTCTGTTGTGCATTTCACCGTAAATAATTTCAGGGAGCAATTTTTTGTAATGTATTATTTGGAGAGCTTGCCGTGCTGGTCCAGCTGAGGGAAAAAGGCAGCATATTTTGAAAAGCTAGAGGCCACAGCTGAATCATGTTGCAGATGTTTACCAGCAGTCATTTTTCTCTCTTTCGTTCTCTGTTTTACTTGCACATTCGGGTTTTATACCCACTTTATATGCACACATGGAACCCAGATTAATTATAAGTGTGAACTAAGCAGTAAACTGTTTAAAGACCATTTATATTGCTCATTATGAAGCTATTTATTATCTCTTACATTAAATCACACTGTGTTTATGCATCATATTGTTTTGCATTTTAAGCTCTATACTGTGCAAATGGGCTTATTCTTTTATTATATTCCAATTCTTTGTGGTTCTTAAATACAGTATGTGTATGTCTGTGTGAGTGCGTGTGGGTTTGTTTGTATGTGTCTAT